CGGGGGCTGCAGGGCCGCGCTGCTGCCGCCGGGTCGTTGCCGCCGCCGCCAGGCACTCCGGAGCTGTCCGCTTCAGCACCACGGCGGCAGCGGTAGCAGCGGCGCGGGCCGGCCGGGAGTCCGCCGCCGCGCTCATGCACTTTAGAACCTCGGGCCGCAGCCCCACCCCGCTCACTGGAACGGACATGGAGACCCGAGGCCCCCAGCCCTCGGCCCACCCCTTCCCGCACGGCTCCCCTGCCCCGCCCCCCTCCGGCCGCTCAGGTCTGCGGACCAGACGACCGGCAGGCGTCGGACCACGCGCGGCCAGGGATGTTTGGCTGCGTATTTGCATGAGCTTCCCACCCACCTAAGCCCAGCCTTCAGGGCCGCTCCTCACCCCCACCCTTGTCTGGCGTGACCCCATCCTCAGCCTCTTTCTAAGGGACTTCCTCAGCACATTTGTATTTTTATATCCGACTCTTTGTTTACTGGTTCCGCTCATGGTTCGTGCTCTCCCCCCACGGTCTCAGCCACGCTCTTCTGCGCCTGGCAGTTAAGATGAGTGTTGAGGCTGGGGTGGGACAAACCCCCAACATGGTAACCAATCACATGGCCAGTCTAGGCCTGACCCCAGACAGCTCTCTGGCAGACTCCTCCCCACTGCAAGGTACCACCTTTCACGGGCCCAGACCTGATTTTACCTTGGACCCCTGCGTCCTGCCCCTGGGGACCCAAATAGGGACTGCTCTGCACCTCTGGATGACACCGAAGGCCCTGGAGATGTTCTCAGCACAGGGGTGTCCTTTGTAAATGTTCCTTCATCCTCACTGTACCAGGAGTGTGTGAATAAACACAGACCTCCCTGTGTGTGTGTGTGTGTGGCAGCTGCTTCTGTCTGCTCAGGAGCCAAGCAAAAAATGGGTACAAGAACTTTTGGGGTAAGGGAACAGGTACCTGGGAATTTCAGGTGAATGCTGCTGACTGAGGAGGGTTGTCAAAGTAGGCCCCAGTACAACCTAAACAGGACATGTCACTGGAGTTGGGGCTAGGACAGAAGCATAAAGGTATCTAGATTCAAAGTCTGCAGCCCCTTGTGGCTAAATCCCAATTGCATGGGGTAGGTAATAGAGGCACCAGGGATGTAGGTTTCCCAGACTAGAGCTAGAAGGCGTGTTGAGCTTTGCCCCAGGGGGATAAATAATTGGTGGATGCACAATTTTGGTGGAGGTGTTTAGGGAATCTAGGAGAAATCTGAGGTACCCAAGAAAAAAGCCATAAGTAAGAAGGAAGCTGATTTGGGAACCAGCTTGATTTGGGATGTACTGGTTCACGTGGGCTTGCTTCCACTAACTCTTAAGATTTGAGCACCTTGGACCCAAGTCCTGAAGTCGGGAATTCCAACCACCTGAGGAGCCAGGGCAGAAAGGCTGTAGGATCATGTTCTGACCTCACAGTTGAATGGCACTGAGGAAGTCCTCATGATCTGAGTCCTGGAGGAAGCAGGGTGAGGTTAGGGGACTCAGGGGTGAGAGGATCTGGGTTCCCAGAGCCATCTGGGCCACATTTAGCTCCCCACCCTTGTGCATGAGGTAGAGATAGAAGTGAAAACCACTGCCATAGGTTGCATGCCTCAGGGACCAGCCGTAATGAGCTTGGGCATAGTGCCTAGTCCGAAAGTGGGGGGGGGCAGAGGTCAGTGAGATGAACCGGCCCCCAGGAACCAGCACCCGGCTCACCTGCAAGGCAAACAAAGAAGCCATCAGTGAAGAGGCCACCTCCAGGTCCTTAAAGGTCAGTACTGGCCCAGATGCCCTCTCAGTGAAACTTCAGGCATTACCCCATATCCAGAGAGCTCTGGGCTTTCCCTGAGAATAGAGTAGCCCCTTCCCTTGCCCCCTGGACAGTCTGTGGAGGTAAGGCTATATTCTAGACAGGTAGAAGCATGAGAGTGACTTAGGTACAGGGCCACTGCTTTCTTGTCAACTGCTCATCCTCCTAGTCTGTGTCACCTGACTGGTACCTGGCTGCTACCTCATCCCTACAGCAACCCAGTAACCAATCATCAGCCTATGCGAGCCTAGCCAGTCTAGTCTCCTCCAATCTTGACCTAGATTAACCCTCTCCTTCCTTCAGGGAACCACATTTGTGAGAATGGCTTACCACTTGGTCCAAATCATGCCCCCTTCTGGTTTCTGAATTTTTCCAATCTCATGAAACTTTTCCATCTGCCCTCCTCTCATTGCTTCCTCACCTCACTCAGCACCTGGTCCACGGTGTGGGCACCTTCAGAGGACACAGTCCAGGGATCCTGTTCCCCAGCCAGTAAGGCATCCAGCATGCCCTTCTCAAGCACCACATCAAAGGAGCCACTGGAGAAGCCCAGTGCCCGCACATCCATAGTCTCCCAGCGCAGCTCGGGCACGTGGGCATAGCGAGCCCTCATGGCAGCCACCACTACTGATGAGTAGTCCACACTGGTCACATTAGGGAAGCCCCCGAGGAATAGCTCGTAGCTCAGAGCACTGTTCCCGCAGCCTGGGGGTGAGAAGGGGGGGTGGTGGTAGCAAAAGGGCTAAGTTAGTTTTGGTTCTCAGCTCCCCCTGATTATCCATCCACTGTTGGCCTCATTTTCTCAAAGCCAAACCCTCTAATACTGAAGGTAAAGCTGTATAATGGAAGAATGTGAGCCTCAGAATCACATACACATGGGTTCAAATTCTATCTCTACAGTTCCTAGCTGTGTGGACTAGGGAAAGTTGTTTGAATATTCGGAACTTGGATTTCCTATGCAGAAAAATGAAGATAACAACTTTGCTTACATGCAGGACATGGTGCACAAAACTGAAGAACTAAAATAGCTGGTGAGTAGTTGAAGGAGCTCTGAACTTAGGAGTCCAAAGATCTGGGTTCTGATATACCTAGTGACAGGACCATGGCAAGTCATTCAACATTTTGAGCCAGTTTCCTCAAACTCAGAATAGGGAGAACATTGGTATCATTAAGGCAATAATATCATTAGGATAATAATAATATTACTATTTGTTGTTATTGTCATGTGCCATCAAGTCAATTCTGACTCATAGTGACCCTGCAGGACAGAGAAGAAATGCCCCATAGGGTTTCCTAGGCTGTAATCTTGGGGAACAGATTACCAGGTCTTTTCTCCTGCAGACTGGTAGATTCAAACTGTCAACCTTTTGGTCTGCAGCTGAGCGCTTAACCGCTGTGCCACCAGG